TAAAACTGTCTATTATATATATATATATACATAATTTAATTTAATACCTGCCACCTACTGAGCTGCACTTAGTAGTGAAAAAAGAAAAATAAAATTACTTCTGTTTTCATAGATTTTACATTATAATGGGAAAGAAAATGGGCAGACAGATGAAACATAGATAGATGATGATGAAGATAGATTGATAAATAGATAGATAGATAGATGAATCATAGACGACAGCTAGAACTAGAGAGACAGAGAGCTAGCTAGATAGGAAAATCTCAGAAGATCTTAAGAGAGTTGGGAGGAAAATAAAAGTAGGTAATAAACATGTCAGTGGATAGAGTTGGGGTGATGCTCACAGGGAGGTCAAAGAAGACTCCCTGAAAAAAGGGTACTGAAATTGGTACCCAGTTGAGAGAGCCAGCCATGCCTGGGGCGCAGCAAAGAACTTTCTAGTTAGAGGTGAATTATGTACAGTACTGGAATTTAAAAGTGAAAAATTACACATAAAAGACATAAAGGAGGGGTAAATCCTATCTTCTTTTCCACTAAGGCACAAATTTGGAGCCAAACAATATATTACTCTTACAACGCATAGTTTGAAGCATAAGTTAATATCCATCATTGGCTATTTCTGCGTGGTCCAATTTTTTTCTTGATGAAGATCTGGATATTTGTAGAGATTTCCCGTTAGAAAGGGAGATATTTATAAACACCATTGAAGATGGGTGAAAGATGAGTGAATGAATGAAACATAAAATATCTGTGTCACCGCTGCTTTGTCGTTCTTGATCTGAAGCAGGACTATAGGTCACTTAATGCCCCTCTCCCAAACAACAAGCAGTGGTAAGGGTGTCAGTATTTTCCTATTCTTCACCTTCTCCTCTCTACACAGGTTTAGACCCCTCCACCTGCAGTATACAGGTCTAGGATGCAGGATCTAGGAACCAGGCTCTCTAAGCTTCCATTTGCCTTCAGAAGACTGGGGATGGGTGGCAGTAGGATTGGGAGGCATTTAAATGGCCTTGCCACAGCATGCTTTGCTAGCATCTGTGATAGATAAGATATAACACTAGAATCTGGCCTACAGGTGTTCAGATGGGAACATCTCCCTGGCAGCTTGTCATGGTCTTGGGTGGCTGGGTTAGTTGAGTCCCAGCTGCCTCCTTGCCACTTCGTGTGTCAGCTTCCCTACGTCTCACAGGCTCTGGGACAAGCCACTTCCTTGTGAGACCACGTCTGGGCTCCAGGGCTCAACCCCAGGGGAAAATTGGTTGCCTCATTCTTCATTTGTTTAACTCTATTATTTAATATGTAGAAATCATATACATATTTTTGTTTTATCAACTCAACCCTTTCTAGTTTATATAACTTCCTTTACATCATTCTCTTTATATTTAAGCAAGATACTCAGTAGGTAACTCTAAAATTAATCCTGTGGTTTGAAGGGTCTTTCAGCCAACGTGGAGATAAGGAGTGTGTTACTAAACCAGCTGAGACGTTTAAAAATCTGTAAAAGATTTTCCATTCCTTCTCACATAAAATAACCTCTTCACTGAATAAACATGCTTAAAGGAACATCATTTTTCTTTTTATCTGGGACTCATAATCTTGTGGATCAATCATCTCTAGGGTTTTATTATGTCAGAAAAAAAACAAAATTAACTTTGATTTGCATTTTTTCAAATTCTTCTAGGTTTGTGAATGGAATTCCTTCAGTTTTCTCAAACAGTTCTATGAGATGGGTGGTCCTGTTTTTCTTTTATGGCTTTGTTTTGTTTAAGTGGGGCCATAATGAACCACTTCTAAGCTCCATTCTCAACACTTTAATCAGCTGTTAAGAAATGTGCCTTCCCTTATTTTTCTAATTATTGATTGTGCACCCTTTGTTCCAGTTATTTCTTGACAAACTTCAATGTCTTCTGCTTTTATCCATAGATCTATAATTTTCTCTTGTAATCCTTTCATCTTTTAGTCCTTCAAAGTTCCAGCTAACTTACCCCATATCCTCAGTTGGTAGGTTTCACTGTTCTGTAAATGTTAATTTGGCTGTTTAACACATCTAATAATGCGCTGGTTTATTCTATAGCAGTTATTAAGTTGTGACTCTTAAATTCCCAGCCTCTCATTTTTAATAAATTCCTATCCTCTTTCATCCATTTGAGAATATGTTTCAATATTTTTCTAAAAAATGTCTTGATTCCTTGGTTGTTTCATTTCAGGGAGTAATGAAATTCTTTTGGAGATCTCACTGGTTTATTCTCTCAGTTTAGACAGTAAACCATTTTTAATGTTCTTCCATCACTGCTTTGCGTTTTCTTACTGTCCCTGGTGAGCTGGTGAGTCTTTGTTGTTGTACTGCAAATGCAATAGTCCCTTCCTTGTCTGTGGTTTTGCTTTTTGCAACTTCAGTTACCTGTGATCCAAAATATTAAGTGGAAAATTCTAGACATAAACAATTCACAAGTTTTAAATTGTGCACCATTTTGAGCAGCATGATGAAATCTTGAGCCAATATGCTCCGTCCCACCCAAGACATCAATTATCTCTTTGTCCAGCAGATTCTCGCTATAAATACTACCCACCCCTTAGTCACCTAGTAGCCAACTGGGTTATCAGACCGACTGTCGTGACATCACAGTGCTTGTGTTCTCGTCATCTTTATTTTACTTAATAATGGCTCCAAAGTGCAAGAGTAGGGATGCTGGCAATTCGGATATGCCAAAGAGACGCCGTAAAATGCTTCCTTTAAGTGAAAAGGTGAAAGTTCTAGACTTCATAAGGAAAAAGAAAAAATCCTACGCTGAGGTTATTAAGATCTATGGTAATTTTCATTACAATATATTGTCATAGTTATTATATTTTGTTATTAGTTATTGTTGTTAATCTCTGACTGTGCTGAATTTGCACAAGACTGAGGCTACGTTTCTCTTTCTATGGAGCATTGATAGCACGGGAAAGGACTGTCCTTTGACAACAGCCTCTGCTGATTGTCCAGGCTAAACGCGGAAGAAGACCTAACAGCCTTTTCCTTGGCTTGAAAGAATTACAAAATGGCTATTTTTACACCCCAAATGAAAGCACATTTATGTAGCGGGACCCCCTATCTGTGACTCATTACAAGTCGGTCAACCATGACCCTCAGACCTTAATGGATTATCATTGCTTCGCTGCAGGCTGTTCCACAAGTCAGGACTGAGTAAATGTGTCAAAAAGGTGATAGGAACTCCCCGGTCTCAATGAGGAAGCTTTACTTCTTTCATTCTCTTCTTGTTGGACCACGGTCACTTATAAATCGACCCATGAGAAAGCCAAAAATTGAAAGAAACCATCCTCAGGCTTTAGGTTTCGTATGCAATGTTTATATGGGTTTGTGACAGCTATCAACTTCTACACCTGTTTCAAATCAGATTGCTAAAATAATGTATTCATACAAACACTGCAATTTGAAAGAGTAGATTTTTTAAATAAATTATAATGGCTATATCACTAATTTTAGTAAGAATTTCAAATAACAAAATTAATCTATTCTATCTTAGCATTGCTTGGAAGAGCACCTGTTTAGAGCCTGCTTTTCTTTGATGAACTCTGCACAACAAATTGGATGTCAGGCAGAAGCCTGCCTTCCCCCAGTACCACTTACTACTTTCTTTCAAGTTTAACAGACATTTGATACTTTTTTTACAAGATTCCAAAGTTTCAGATCTACTCTGAAATAGATCCCATTAGAATGTATTTCCAACATTATCGTGGCTGTTCTTCCTGTCCTCTCTCCCTCTCTCTCTCTCTGTCATTTTATCGATCTCTTTCATCTGCCATTCTATCATCTCTATCTATATCACTTTCATCTATCATCTCTTCCTATTATCTGTCTCTTTCATCTATCATGTCTATCTCTTCATCTATCTATCATATCTATCTTTTATGTACTATTATCTATCATTTATTTCTATCTCTTTCATCTATCTATCGCCTATATCTGTCATCTATCTGTCATCCATTTATCTCTCCTTGTTGTCCTTGTCACCCAGGGTTCTAGCCTAACTTCAATACCTCTTTGACTCTCTTCTCCCCAATCATGATATTAGTCACCAAAGGAAGCATTTCTTCTCTCAGGAGAAGAGGTTCCTGTGCTCTACAGAAATAAGTTCATAGAATCGTAGCGTATTGGTGTGTCACATGTAAACCGATCTTGCCTAGATGTCATGGTGTGGCTCATCAGGAAAAAGTGTTATTTATTTTTTTTTTTTTTGAGGAAGATTAGCCCTGAGCTAACTACTGCCAGTCCTCCTCTTTTTGCTGAGGAAGACTGGCCCTGAGCTAACATCCATGCCCATCTTCCTCTACTTTATATGTGGGACGCCTACCACAGCATGGCGTGCCAAGCAGTGCCATGTCCGCACCTGGGATCCGAAGTGGCAATCCCTGGGCTGCCGAGAAGCGGAACATGCGAACTTAACTGCTGCGCCACCGGGCTGGCCCCTGGAAAAAGCGTTATTTATCAAAACAAAAACAAAAAACTTCAAAGCTTTGCAAAGTTAAATGTAGAGGACAACTTTCTAGCCTCAAAAGGTCTTTTTCTGTATGTTGATATGGATAATTAGATGAAATCTACATACATAACTTTTAAATGTTTATTTCAGGGTGTTCTGGGTGTCCTCAAAATATATCTCATTAACTTCAATCAACATTTCTTTTGCTTATACCGAGTTATCTTTCAGTCATTCCAAACACTATAAATGTTAAGTGTTTGATAGATATTTGAATTAAAGTGTCATTTCATTGTCAGAGCTGATAATAAATATCTTTGTAGTAATAGCAATTTTGAATTCCATAAAATTCTATAATTGAGGGCTCTAAAATGTATATAGTTATCCATATAGTTACTTAAAAAGCAGCTTGAAATCGTGTGAAATACAATGGAATTGAGGAGCAAAAATTAATACTACAACTGAATATTTGCAATATTTAAATTTCCTGTGATGCTAAATCATTATCTTTTGCCTTTGATTCAGGTCATCAAGCTTGCCTTTGAGGAGTTTGAATTGGAACGAGGCTATGACACCCTGACAGTGGGTGATGCTGGGAAAGTGGGGGATACCAGAACAGTCTTGTATGTGTAAGTACATAATTCCCCTTCTCTTCTTTCCTCCCACGTGCACTTATATGCAGGCACATTGACATATCCTTGAGATTCAGGTGCACACTTCCTGTTCTGACTCACGTGTTTAATAAATGCCATATACACCTCATTAGTAGCTTCCAAATCTAATTTCACATGAGAACTAATTCACGATTGCATTTTGTCTGTATCATTTTTTCCAAATCATTAAAAATTATGGAAAAAAGAATATATAGATGAGTAGAAAGTAAAACTATGAGTTTCTCAACCCACTCCTCCCTCTCAGCTCCTCTCTTTCTACTTCTCTGTGGTGTAACATTATCAGTGTTTTTGGAAAAATGATTATTTTCTAGAAGAATGCCATATGTCTCCCCAAAGCCCTTGCATTCTATAAAACTGCATATCAAAAGTAACAGAGATAGGGGAAAACAGTGTTGGGGTAACTCACTGTGTGTCTGTGGATCTCTGTCCTGGCACACAGTGACAGCCTTGCCATAAACGTGAGCGTAGGAACCCCTGCACTGGCCTTGCCCCCAGAGTTACAATCTGCTCTGCAGGGCTTCACCCTGACGGTTTCAACTACTTCCAGATGCAGGGCCCAGAGGACAGTGTTGTCGCTTTCTATGAGACCTGTTCTATCAAAACTAAAACTACAATCCAGGGGTATCCTCACTCATCAGGGCCTTCAGCTCAGAGGGAACCATCTTTGTAGCATCTTCATCTGCTTTTGCACCTTGCACAGAGAGCTTTGTGCAGTGGCTGCTGAAATTACTAAGCTAGAAACTTCTTTCATTAGTGGAAGTCATTCTGCAGGATCTTTGCTTTTTGCTTAGTCTACTTGTACATTGCTGAGGTTTGCTCTTTATTTGTGAGAAAGCTTGCCTCTGATAACTTCAACTTATTTTTCTACTAGGGAAAAAAAAAACCAGTACCGGCTATTGTACTCACTCACTCATTCTCTTATTTAGCAGTTACTTATAAGGCAGTTCACATTTTAAAAAGTGCTGTAGCTGAACATGCTATCTCTGCCTTTAAAAACTAAAGCACCTGTACTCTCATCACATTGGGAACATATTCTTTTCATTTATTATATCCTGGATGTCTTTCCCTGACAGGACATACCTCTATCTCATCATTTTTTTGGTCCATTACTACTATCAATAATAGTAACTAAGATCATGTTACTGACCCATGACTTATGATAACAATTATAATAATAGCACTGGTAACTTCATAGCTAATATTTATTGAGTATCTCTTATATTCGATACATTGTGCTAAATGCCTGAGTCATTTTATCTTATTTGGTCCTCACTTTAATCCTGTGAATTAGAGGTTAACAGTATCCTCATCTGATAAATGATGAAACTGAGGCTTGGGTAAGACTAAAGGATTTACCCCAATTCACAAACCTAATATGCGTTGGAGCAGGTACTCAAGCCCAGTGATTCTGCTCCACCATCTGTATTCCTTACCATTACCTATGGATGTGCCATGTTTTTAACGGATTCTCACTGGTAGTCTTTTGTTTCCCTGCCCACCCCATTCTTGGGCATTTCTAAGCAGGTTTGCAGTAAAAAAACTCTGCACAAATACATTGTCACACTTGTTTTATGTGCCTTCAGGAAAATTTCCAGTAGAGGGCTTTCCGGGGCAATGGCTATCTCCATTTACATGGTTATCCTTTTCCATTGATCCACCCCCCCTACAGTTTACATCAATTTACTCTTCCACCACGGTGTATGCAAGTCCCTGGTTTCTCACACCATCTCCAAATAGATATTCTTTTTTGACAATTTACTAGGCAAAAGTTACTTTTATGTCTAAAAGTACAGATTGCTACAGGGTGGGGCCAGGACATCTGCATTGTTTGCAAGCTTCCATGTTGATTGCATGCTTTCAGCCTGGCATTCGTCTGGAGCAGTATATGTCATGATAAATTGGATAGATATGGGGCCAGGAAGCCAAGGATGGAGTTTCTAGCTCTAGTTTTGCTATTAACTATCTCTGTGGCCCTGAGGGATGTCACTTTACCTCTCTGTACCTCTGTTTTCATGACTATAAAATATATATAATAAACTTTTCCTGCCTGTGGTAAGGAGAAAAATGAAATAATGCACATGAACACACTGGAGAGCTAAGAAATGCAAGCCCCACGCAAAATAGCTTTATTATTACCATAATGTCTAATTTAAGAAAGGATGTCACGAAAACAAATGAGAGAAATTTTCAAATAAATACAAAATATAAATGTGGCAAAGTAGTGCCATATAAAGTCCCTTAGGTCACTATTAAAGATCTGAAGTCATACACCCATTTTTTTAATGCTATTTATTGTTAAGAGAGCAATAGCAAACTATGTATTATGTTGACATAGTGTTATTATAACTTCCTCTCGCTGGCTCAGATCTATAAATGAAAAGCTAAATAGCCAACTGAATCAAACTGAGATGCCCTTTGGGAAACATAATGTAACGAGGATCACTTGGGCATTTAATCAGCTGCAGCAGAGAAGAGATACGCCATTTCCTTAGTTTACAAAATTACAGGAAAAAAAAAAGAAAGAAAACTGAGAATCACAGTTGGTATCTGTGAATACACAGGTAATTTTAGAAAATACATCACAAATACTTTTGACTACTTGTATCTCAGACATGACTGTCAGCGTGGAGTTTAACATCTAATTGGAGCAATGACACATAGGCTGGGATAGTTAAATAGAGGACAGTGTATAGAATCGTTGAATCTCATGAGACATATTTCAAATACAATTTGAGTTAAGAAACTTCTGTATGGTATTTACTACCTAAAGCTCAGTATTTTGTAGGTTCTGTTTTAGGGAGGGCTAGAATTCCCTTTTGGAATTCTAGTCAGATCTCGATATTCAGGGGAAATTTAGAAAGTTAAACAGCTTAACCTATCTCATCCTAAATACGGTTTTAAAACTTCTAATTCCCATTAATGGCTTTTATTTGCTTAACTTTCTTGATACATAAAGAGAACACCTGAATGTTAGGGGACTCTTTAATTGTCTAATCCTCCCAAGAGATGGATGAATTTACTCAGGTTACTTTTATAGAATGACAGACAAATGACTTACTTAACAAATCTCTATTGAGATCCTTCCAAGAATATATATTAATAATTTTCTCAAATTTAATTTGCAGCAGAACTGCATCTGGAGATCTCATTCCTCATGGCTTCCCTCTGGCCTCTGCCCTTATTAAAAATTGGTGATGGGAAGATTGCATTAAGTTCAGGATGTCCTGGAGATTGCGGGCACATGTTACAGGTTTTCGATGTCCATCCCTCTAAGGGGATGAATAGCCAACATCGGGACCATCTGTGAGCTAGTAGTATTGCCTCTGCCTGACTAGGTTTGTGGATTAACTGATAAGGGTACTAGTTATTCTATGGCTGGTTGAACCATTATTCTTTAAACTGCTTCTTGCTTCTAGAAGCTGCCCCGGACATTATATCACTATGGCCGCCTCCCCCTGCTGTTGTCTGAAGGTCCTGAGCTAAAGGGCATCATTCTCTTTTTATTAAAAGACTGTGGAACAGCCATAAAAAAGAAAACGCTAAAAACTGATGTTTCCGTGCTTTATATCATTGATATTATCAGAGGAGTCAATCACTATATAGCTCAGTGCTTTGCAGAAAAGCTCAAGCAGTTTATGTTAGGAATAAGTACATAAAGATAGCTGCTTAAATGCTCTCTAGATAAAAACCCATTTTTCACGATTAGAAATCAAGTACCCTCTTTAGGTTCTTAGAACTGTGGAATCGCATGATCGCAACTGTTTTTCTTCATGTTATCCCCATAATGGCATTGCCTGGGAGCATGAACACATCTGATAATACAGATCAGACTCAAATGCCATCGCTGTGTTCTTGCCTTAAACTTTATCCCTTGTTAACTTCCCTTTCTCCCACTCTGTATCTGGAAGCTTTCTTGCTTGATTCTTTCCAGAAATATTTATTGAAATTCAGACATTGCAGTGGGACTCGCAGGGGGGCAACAATAGGTTTTAGGGGGTGGTCAGCAAGTGGCGAAGGCAGAGGCTGCCCAACCTTCATTGTCACCCCTGGAGAGTCTTGGCCTGGGCAGACCCCTCTCCGGACACCCTACGGCATCTAGATACGCTGTCCGAATAACCCCATCCAGGCGGAAATAGCCAGACTGCTGGATGCTGCCATTTTAGATTTGGGGTACCAGCTGTTTCAGGGGTCTCTGGGAAAACAAGCTGACCCAGGACCTTGGGGGTCCATGGGAAGCTGTCTTTGGGGGCAACCTTACTACGGAGGAGAAGAAGCCATAGGTTCAAAGGGAAACAGCCCAATCGCAGCACCTGCGGGAGGTGGGATGGGGTTAGTTCCAGCTAATTTGGGGTCTAGACAAACTGAGTCATTTTCCAACTGTTCTGCCAATTATATGACCAGTACTGACTCACTGTGGCTGTTTTCTCCAAGGAGCCAACAAATACATGCCTTCCTTTATACACTGTTAACCTGAAGAACTGAGGATCTCTTTGCCATGATTCATCAGTCAAAAGCATTTAACGTTTGTATTGTGTGTTTTTGACACGAAATTAACCTCAAAGCTGAAGCTATTCTCTTTTGGGGGAACAAGTGCATTTAAAACAACAAAGGGCATGCATTTACAGTGCAACCAGCCTGGCTGCCTATCTTATGTTTTGCAACCTCAAAGGATTGTTGTAAGTATAAAATGGAATGGTTAATGAAAAATTGTTTTAAAAAGGGTAAAAAGACAGTGCAAAGAGAAGATGTTATTATATTGCTGTAGTTATTATTTCTGCCTTAATATAATACAACATGCTGAATTCTGCAGTGTTCAGACTGGTCTTTGGAAATGGAATATACCAGAAAGGAAGAAGGAAAAAGGAGCTTGAACTGTCATTTCCTGAATCTGTACCTGCATTATCTCTTGAGTCTTGTGACAAGAGTATTGTTTCCATTGACTAGATGAAGACAAG